TGATTCTGTACCAGGCACGAAATGGAACGGGGTCCCCCCCCACAAGTCCAATCCCTATACACCCCCAGCCTATTGTTACTTAACCCACACTCCCCCCCCGCATGTCTGGAAACGAATTCCTGAGATACCAGCATAACCGTGACCAGCACAAAGGCGGGGTTTCTCTCTGTCCCCTAGTTTGCTTCATTATGTGTGATTCTGGCGTGCTTTTGCTCGTTTTAAACGCATTGCACCAATACACTGTTTTTCAATGGTAAGAAGGGCACAAAGGAACCAGTCCATTCCAGAGATGGCTATGCAAAAATTTGCCCCAAATCACGAGGTATTTAATAGAACAATGTATTTAGTCTAGGGAATTCAAGTTGTTATGCTTACGTGCAATCAGATAAATCAGTGTACTAGATTTTAATCAAATTTAACTCACAAAAGGCTTATTGCTTGTCCAAAATGGGAATTTTAGTCTCTGCCCATGCATGACGTTTTCAAGTCTGTTTTTCCACATCGAACAGCCCCAAAGTGCAGTGTAAATATACAGGAGCCTTGCTCGATTTAATGTCTATCAACCGTCCACCCACCTCCTACCTACTTGATGAATGTCTTTGGAAAAGATGAAAACACATGCGATACAGGGCTAAACTGGGTGTGACTTAATTCAGAGATGTGTGTGTCGTAGAATAATTTCTCAAGAATCTACCACTCTATAACCTGTTTTGCCTCGGATATGCTATTTTGCAAAGGAAAGAACTGTGGGTTCCCCTCTGGTTAACATTTCATTTTTTCGGCAGGTGAGGTTTACCTGCTGTCAACGATCGACTCGGGGGTGTTTACCGACGGGGGTAAAATCCTTAAAATAGTGGATCCCGGAAGGTATTAAAGCATCATCACTCTGCTTTGCTTAACCCATTAAATTAGAGTTTCAGAGATACAGCTGGGTGCATTTGCTCTGAGATGATTTCCTGAAAACAGACAATTTGTCCAATTCTTTCCCTGTTTCCATTTTCTTTTCTTTTCCTTTTAATTTTACTTTCTCTGAATATACCTTCCCTTGCAGTTTCGGAGCTATAGCTGTCCGTGCAGAAATATGCTCTCATAATGAAACTACACGATACCAAATAATTATTGTAGTTGATTAAACAATCACCATTTTCTCTTAGGAGAGGCAATCCATCTGAATGTAACCGAGAGACTTCCAATCCTGTGGACTTTTTAACGACCGCAGCAGGTAAATAATCCCGCTATTGATGTGGAGAGAGAGAGGGAGGTGGAAGGGCTGCTCGGTTGAATACAATTTCACTCAGTACTGAAACAAATTATGCACAAGTTTGGTTTCATTTTTGATTTGAAATTCTTTTTAACGGAGGGATATATTGATTATGCTGCTCTTTGGGAAGAGTTCCAGATACGGACGCCAGTAGTTCTTCCGTACAGTGACCTAAAAGCCATCAGAAAGCAAAAACATGTGCAGAAAAGTTCAATTTAGGAGGGAAAAAACCAAGTTGTTTACCGAGAAAACACTTGGAATTTTTCAGACTAGTCTCTTGCTGGTTTGTGCACAGGGTGTCAAGTGGCGTCTGTATATGGAACTCGTTTAGTTTCCTGCTCTTCTACAGAAAACCTTACTGGTTGGTGCACTTATTGAAATCGATCTCTGCATCTCTGTATGTTCATTTAATATTTTTCTATTCAGCATCTGCTTTCACCTCAGCCCATCATTGCCATGTACAGGTAAAATTTACCATAGACCTGGAGGAGAAAAAACAATGGACTGCCAACTCCAGCGGGCGCACGTCGATCTCGCGTCAACCGGAAGTGCCGACAGGCACCGACAACTTTCGTTTTGCTGTCGTCCGTTTTTTTTTAAAGTGTGCTGCGTGCACAAGGTGTTGATCTTTCCTCCTCAAAATGACATAAATTTCCAGGTAATAATTGTGCAGTTGTTGGAAGCAGTGCCTAAAGACACAAATAGGGGTTGAGTTTCTATGGTATACCGAAGAGGCCATCCAGCCCCCAAAAAGCGAAAAGAGGAGGCGGAACAGAACGCGAACGACATGCATGGAGGCAAAACAATACATGTAGGCCTAGTTAGGAATTGTCAAGATCTGAAGATAGCGTTGATTATAATAGGTGAGGTCATAAAATTGAGAAGTACATTACGGTTTCAAGACCAAAGTGTTATTTCTTCTTCAGCCTAGTTGAAACATCGTCAGCTTATCATGTAAAAGTCATTTTAGTGGCAAGTAGTTTAGTGATAATATAAACATAGGCCTAATTAATAAAAACTACAAAAAATTTAACAAATTAATAAGAAAAAATGACCTGGTTTGCTTGTGGTCTGGTGCAGTATTCTTTTTCACTTCACAGTAATTCTCCTTATATTTCATTTTGTGGTATGTGCAGGTGCCACCGTAGCCTACCCGCTGAATTTCTGCCCACATCATAAGTTATTCATCCTGGTCCTGGTAAGTGCATCGAGATGGTTGTTTGAGTTGGTCGTTGACTTAAGTTTTCCTGTGTTAAATATTTGAAATTTGATTTCTCTAATTGCAATTTTTAACAATTTTCCTTTTTTTCCGTGTTCTCATTTTCAAGCATTTTCTCCTGTCTGGCTCCATGTATGGATCCATTGCACTGCAATGCATGCTTTTCTGTTGGTGTTCACATGTAAACCCCTCATGTTAACCCCTCTGTAAACGTTTGTTGAGTAGTAACCAGAATTTTATGCATGCTATAACTATTCAAAAGCAATAAAGTCAGATTTTAACTCTTGTTCAAAACTAATTCTTGGCCCGATGCCATATCTTAGGTTCATATCATCAAATTGGGCCTATCTAACCAAAGATCTGAACCCTTTTATTTTTATTCATTTTTTTAGGGTATTTATAGAACCATTTTTGCAAAGTTTAATATTTTTCTGTAAATTATGAATAAAATGTTACTATGTTAATTAACATCTTTGGAATTACCTTAATTATGTACGTTCCATCACACTTATTGGAGTATGGCCTTTTGGTGACCCTTGGATTGTAACAGTTCAGAATGTTGCCACACCTTCAAAACTGGCATTTGAAATGAAAAAACGAAGTGGAATACGTTCTAGTATGTGAAAAGAAAGTGGGGTTTGAACCCCATTCAAGCGAGCTTTTATTCACTCATGCACTGTACTTTGTTGAGTCTCACTCCTTTAGGTTGTGCCAGCATCACTTACATCATCCTCTAAATTGGTAGCTCACATGGACTTGAACAATGTGCGAAGGGACACCACAATGTTGAGGACACAACAGCTACTGACAGCAGACTGCAAGGAGTGCACTGATTGATCTTTCGGCAACTTGCAACACCCATAAGGAGCATAAACCTTTAACAGGCCACATGCTTCAACCACAATGCACTCATGCAGACTGGCAGGTGCACTTAACACAATCATATGAAATCTAACTTTGGAGGATTCCATAAATAGTGGGGAGAACTACATGTATATGGTAGCTTCAAATAGCTCCAGTTTTGTTTACAAATACTGAATTTTAAATTTGTTGTTGACAAATGTACATGTATATGAGAGGTATTTCTTAGTGCTATTGTTGCATAAAAATCCCTGGTTGCAAATATACAGGATTAGAAAAAAAAATCACTTATAACATGGACACTTTATCCCTGTCTCAGTTTCATGGAATGACACTTGTAACACTGTTAAACACTGAGTTAGTGGCACCTCAGATGAATTGTATAATTACAGCGATGTGAAGTATTTTTGAGCTTATTCACAAGTCAATTCAATTTTTCGTATTTATTGCAATTCCCGGTACAAAAATGATTTGAATTGACCAGCCCAGAAGTGTGCCTCGCTTGCTTCTTCAGTGTCTGACTTTACACGATCCCTACTGGGCTATTGCGGTATAGTTTGGGTGGGGTTCATGTGGCAACAGCAAAAATTAAATTTTAAAGTAAGCAGGATGTTGTGTGCTTGATCCCAGCCGAGCAAACTGTGGAGTTTTTTCTCAGGGAAGCACTGTCTAGTGTTAATAAAGTTATGTTGCATGAAAGAAATGACAAGCTTACTTCATATTGCAATTTCCTCATTCATTACATCTTACCTCCTTGAAAATTGAAATATTGATTTTAAAGATTGAAGATTTTAGGTGGCGTTCTTTAATTACTGATATTGATGCCAGAATCCAAAAGTCAAGTATCATGATGACTATTGCACATTTCAAATGAGCCACATAATTTTTTACATGAATACCTGCAGAATTCTACAGAACTCTGCTCTATTCCACATCTTGTCACTTTTTTCCCCCAAACAATTCCGACTGCTTATAAAGATCATATTACATACAGTTTGTGAAGTATGACAGTTCATGTACGAAGTCATTGGGGAAATTATGCTATGGGCCTCCATGTTTCCCACACATTTTTCTAATGTAACACGATGCCCCTTTGAAATGTAAGTTTAAATCTTGTAGAAAAACACAAATTTGCAAATAGGCCTAGCATTGAAACTATTGTTAGAAGACTTGAATCTGAACGGGGGAACATGTACTATTTTTCCCCTTGAAAAATTCGAAAACCCCACCAGATGAGTATAACTCTGAAAATTGCTTTACAAGTCAGAAAAAAATGTTTTGCTGGGCTAACCCAACCAGACTTGGCTGTCGTGAGAGCTAACAGCAGTACTCGATCATCTTTGTCGATTGTCATGATTGGTGCATCAGAAAAAATATAGCTTTCCCTGTCTAAAAGGCTCAATAATTCTCACGTCAGTATACTCATAATTATCACAATGTCATAACATAAGTGTATGTTGTCTATCTCGTCTATTTTGCGATTTTTTCCACGAAAAAGGCAAAATTACCAGCGCAGCGCCGGTCGCTTCGTTCATCGCACGTGAATAACGCTTCAAAGGTCAACCAGAAGTTCCCTGTGCCGGCAACTCCAGAGCTTCCGGCTGACGGAACAGTTTACACGCAATGCGCCGTGCGCCCGCTGGAGTTGGCAGTCCGCTGTTTTTTCTCCTCCAGGTCTATATGGTATAACGTACATTTAAAGATATAGTTTTGTTTAAATTTGCTTGTGTCATTTCACCAGAAACAACAACGACAGGTGGCTACCTGTACACTGTGGAATCAAATAATGCATCGTCAGCTACTAATGGGTTATTCACCACAGAACTGGAACCAACTGATCCTGCATCGACAACTGGTCGACCATCCACCACAGAGCTGCTTACAACCGATGCATCACAGATCACGACCGTTCCATGGGACGCATCATTAACAACTGATCGATCGTCCATCACTACCGATCATACATTAGTGACTAGTCGACCCTCCACCACCGCACTGCCTGCAACTAATGCATCATTAACGACGGGTCGATCCTCCACCACAAATCCGCCCACAACTGAGCCTGCGTTACAGACTGGTCTATCATCCATCACAGAAATAACCATGACTAAGGCATCATTAACGACTGGTCGATCATCGACCACAGAGCTGCAAACAAGTAATTCTGAATTACCGACT